TATTGCCTGGGTGAATATATTAGCATAATTCGCTTATCTACAAATCATAAACGTACACGTTTTCCGTAAACTATACCAAACTTTCCTACTCATCTTGAAAATGGGAAACAGTATATTGAGTGTTGCTAAACCGACGACGCCGTAAAAATTTCAAAGAGAGGTGCTTACGTCTAACCACACTTTTGGTACTGGACGTATCATGCTTCTTTGAAAATCTTTCGGGATGAGTTGTTTAGTTATTGAGTGAGATAGTAACTTTCAACTCTGTACTCACATTTTAGCTGGTATGATCAGGAAACTAATACATTTTAATGTCGACATTTAAGGACTTACATAGAATATTTAGAAAAGTATATTGACAATTGGGTTGCGTTAACTGAAAAGTAACCTTCAAAACTGCTTTTCAATAGTAGAATGCACCTAATATATAAGTTAATATGATATCAGTGTAATACACCCTAAAAATTAACTAGTTAAAAATATTCAAAGCACGTGAAAAAGCGTTTCCATTTTCAGAGTTCACAGGAAGTGTATGTATTGAGACGTACGAGTAATCCATCATAGTGAACTGGATTCTACTTGTTGTGTTATGTAATAAGCGTATTTCCTTGGTCCTTCCATGCTGCTTACGTTTCACGTTCTATGCCTCAAAGCAAGTTCAGCTCAATCTGGGGTCAACTCTTAACCAACCAAATTAAGCTGTTAAAAACTTTCATGTTGCCTCTCCACATTTCTGCAGCTATTTGACTAGTCTTCTTTTTCTCCTTCGTTGTCCGAATATTTCATGTACCTAAATTGATTGTTGCTCTGGTTGTTGGAAGGGTCATTGGCCTCGCGACTTACGAGTTATCTGGACTTTCCCAATGAGGTGTCATAGTTCATCATTCAACTCGGAGGACGGAGTTTAGATTGATTAAATATTCTAAGAGGCAACTTGACTTATTCTTAAGGACTAGGGATTCAGATTCAGATTTGTGTAGTAAGGACAGAAGGCCTACGGCCTATGTTATTTTTTTCTAGTATGCTTCTGTGAGTGTCCAGTCTTCTCTTGAAAGAGTCAATTGAAGATGCGGACACCACTGCTTCGGGCAGCAGGTTCCAAGTACTGACAACTCGGTAAGAAAACCTGTATGCCACGGGTATTTTGTTCGTTCTTGGCTTTTCTGTTCGCCTGTTATGTCCCCTTAGATGCCCCGATCTAGTGGAAAAAGGGAAAAAATATGTTATGTCCAAAATCCTTTCTCAGTATTCTGCATATAAAAATTTGATCTACCCCTAGTCTGCGACAGGACAGAGTAAAGAGGTTTGGCTTTTCAAGCTGCTCGTTTTATGGTAAACCCCGGAGTTCCGGAATTGCACAGGTAGCCGCTCTCTGTACTTTTTCTACGATATCCGAGTCATCTTTTAAATAGGGGCTGGCAGCCTGAACGCAGTTCTCAAGCTTCGTTCTCACTAAGGATGTGTATACTGTGGTGAACATGGTAGTATCTAACTTAGTGAATGTCCTTTTTAAAGCCCAGAGGGTTCGAAACCCCTTAACTGCGACCTCCCGGCAATGGGCCGTCGTCTTAAGATCATGACTCACTGTCACTCCTAGATCCTTATGAGACCAAACCACAGGTAATGGCATTTCCCCTGTGTTGTGCCTATTAATCTTTGAATTCCCAAAGTGCATGTAGACACACTTTTCCTCGTTGATAGGCATTAGCCACTCTTTAGACCAGTTTATCATATTATTTAAGTCTTCCTGAAGAGCACATGTGTCTGTGTCGCCAGTTATAACTCTCCAGATCTTTACATAGTCAGCGTATAATAACACTGGAGACTGTACTATACTTGGAAGATCATTAACATACATTATAAGATGTAAAGGACCTAGGACGGAACCTTGAGGCACCCTACTAAGTACTGGTCTCCAGATGGAGCACTTGGAATTTATTCTTACTTTCTGTTTACGACCTACTAGGAAATCCTTAATCCATTTTAAAATAGGTCCAGCAATACCAAGGTTTTCCAACTTCAATAGCAGTCTATTAGTTGGCACCTTGTCAAAAATCTTACTGAAGTCTATGTAGACAACATCTACTGAGTTTCCGTTGTCTAGCGCCTTTATCCAAAACTCCCTTGCTATAAGTAGGTCCGTTGTACAAGATAGACCCTTTCTAAAACTATGTTGTTCTATGTTTAGCAAGTTATTGGCTTCCGTAAATGTCATTATAGTCCGTTTGACTATTCTTTCCAATATTTTAACTACAACACTGGTGATGCTTACGGGTCTGTAGTTCGATGAAACTTGTCTTTGTCCTGTTTTATGTATGGGAGTGACGATTGCGTCCTTTCAGTCCATAGGCAACACACTCTCGAGCCCATCCAACTAAATCGTCTAAGTCAGCTTGGAGATCCAGATGATCAGCCGCACTTTTTATTGTTCTCCAGATTTTTACATCATCCGCAAACAATAATGTCGACGACCTTAGTAACAGCGGCAACTCATTAACGTAGAGAAGGAAGAGCAGAGGGCCTAAAATGGCGCCTTTGGGTACACCACTTTCGACCGGCTTCTAGTCGGATAGCGTTCCGTTGACCCTCACTCTCTGTACAGTACCTATTATTCCGAAGCTCGTGAGCTTCTGCATAAGACCTACGTGTGAAACCTTGTTAAATGCTTTGCTAAAATCTGTGAATATCATATCGACAGACAGACCGTTATCTAGGGCTGCTGTCCAATCCTCCCTCGCAATAAGCAAGTTAGTCAAGCATGAACGCTTGTTACAAAATCCGTGTTGCTCAGGAGCTAACAGATTGCGTAAATCTATGTGGCTTAGCAACCTAACCCGAATTAACTTTTCAAGTAACTTAACGACTATGCTAGTTAGACTAACAGGCCGATAGTTAGATACGATACCATGAGTCCTAAACTTAAAGTGAATTACAACGTGATCACTGTTCACTAGTGGGGGAAGGTGCTGAACATCAAGGACATCCTCACAGTGGTGGGTGAGGGCGAGGTCCAGAAGTGACGGATCATGATTGAAATCAATATGTGTCGGTTTTGTGATACATTGTACAAGTGCACACTGAATAACGGTAGATTAAAGGTCGCTATCGAAACCACTACCTGGAGCTGTAAGCTCTATCCAGTTGATATGCGGTGCGTTGAAATCCCCAATGATGAGACAACATTCTGCCATACTCCAAGAACAAATGTGTCTCAGGATAAAGTCGTCAGCAAGACAAAACGGACTACGGTAAATTCCCCCTATAGTCACTAACCCACTTCTAGATTTAATCTTAAAACACGCAACCTCACATGTGCCACTGATATGAGCCTCCGATATGATTGATTGTATACGAAAGTGATCCCTAACATATAATATTATACCTCCCCCTTTGCGAATTGAAACTCTATCACTTCTAATATAGATATAGCCTGCAATGAACGGAGAACAGTCTATATCTGCTGTGAACCAAGTTTCTGTAACAACGATTATATCGGGACATAAGTCTTCCACCATCAGACTTAGCTCGGACGTTTTATTTCTAAGACTACGAGCGTTCGTGTAGCACACACTTAAGATGTTTTGGTAATCAAACGTTCTACCCGTACAGGCCTCGGAAGCATTGGCTTCCAAGACCTGACTACCCGAAAACCCTTAATGGTAAGGTTATTTTCGCCATTTAATTTGCTAGTCCCCAACTCCGTAAGAGCACTCTTCCACTTGATTCGATTCTCAAGCGGCCAATCTGGTCGTATACGAATATTTGAGTCACGAGTCTTTAGTGCGTTTTTCAATAATATGTCTCTTTCTTCGAAACTCCCGGGAACCAGCTTCAGAATTCTTCTTGGTTGGGTCTTGCCTTCAACCCATTTACCAAGTCGTATTACTTTTGTAACATGTACCCCTGAAACCTCTTCAGGTAGCACATTTCTTACCACAGACTCCACTAACTGCAGTTCATGTGCATGTCTTCTAGCAGGGTCGTTATCTTTCGACTCCTCTAGATTCCAAATAATTAAACTAGGAAGGGGTTTAGCTTCCTTTGAAATTATGTTAACACCTTTCGACCGTGACGAAAGATCCTGTATATTAACTACTGGTATCTTACGATTAGCTTTTATTGTAACAGAGCCCTGTGAGTGACTCACAACAGTGTTAGACGAAGCTTTGCTTTGGAGCTTTGGCGGATTGGTTTGAGAGTTCACCAAGGACTTATTAAGTAAACAGTCGTTAGTTTTAGCTGTCTTTCCTACTCTTCTGCGTTTTTGCGTAATCCATTTTCTATCAGTCGAAACATCTACATTAGAACAACTCGGGACCGTAATTGTCTTATCTGGATCACTAGTCGCAGGTGTAGCAATATGGCCACCGACGTCTAATGAGGTGTCATTCATTGATCGTTTCGGGGGAGAACGTTTAACTGCGGGTTGTCCAGCTAGATGTCTAGCTTGCGCCGTGACAGCACTTACAACACTAACGCGATCTTCACCATCAGTACCAATGTTACCAGTAAGGCCCTCATCAACCTTCTTATTAGCCAACATCAGGAGGCTAACTGCTTCCTGGATGAGTAATGTTTTGCTCGAGCAGCAAAAACTACAAAGCCAATGGGAGTTGGGCTTTGAGCACTTTTTATATGCAGTGGGGCTTAATCGGGTGCACATCTTTTGGAACCACTTGTTACACTCATCACATTGCATCCCTTCCTCCACGGGACAATGAGCAATATGGTTGTCCACATTTATGTGCAGATCTAACCATCTTGAAAATCAACTAGAACGGTGACAAAAACAGGATGTGTAAAAGGATTCTCAAACCTTAACTAAATAAACCAGGTAAAAGTCGACCAAGTATGCTTCGATGCAATAAATACACAGAAGCAAAATCGAAACACTCAATACAATATCACTTCAACTGGGGTAGATACAATTAAAGTGTAAACGGTAGTTTTGATGCGTAATTTACGATCAAAACAGTTAATTAACTATGATTTACCAGTTTCTTTTTCCTCTATTATTGTTAATATACCTAGTTTCCTGTCTGGAGGTATTGATGATCTGCTGCTGCTAGACACGGAAACCCGTTAAGTGAAAGCTTCTCCTATTCCGCCCACAGCCATTTGAACCATTTGGTCCAGGTCATTCAAGGTCGTAGAGGCAGATTTAATCTAAACCTGAGGTATCGCGGATTTTTGCGCTACTCCCTTATTTCTGTTTTGTGCACAGCCAAAAGTACAAATTAATTATAAATAGGTTTTAAAGCATATTTTCCGATAGATAGAAAAAGGGTTTTTCCATCTTGCGGTAAATGGTATCACAAAATCTTTGAAAACTCCTTAACCAGGCACTGTAACAATAGTTTTTCTATAATTGCATCACAGACTAGCAATTATTTCTACCTAGCTATACAATAAGGGTAGACAAATAGTTTGTTTTTGTATGAAATAACGTGATTAAAGTATGTGTCGATATATACATTCCTTACTGATATAAAGTCTAATGTACGGCATTTACGCTGAAAGTTGGAGGGAGTACTTGCCACTCAACTAGATATTAACTTATCTATATTCCTAACTACGCACGTGCTCGTGTTTCTTGGTCGTTTGCGTGAGAGTTTAACCGTAGATTGGTTAGTTTCTTTGTGACACAAAGTACACCATGTGCATTGGATCTAATGGGAAAGTTAGATCCATTATTTCCCTCAGACGGGAGGAAAAGCAGACATTTTGGCGCCTTTCCCCCTTGTTTTCCAACGCATTTTCCCCTTTGTTCGCCTTTGTTTTCCCTTTATTGGTTGGCTGGGATGAGATCGATCAAAGTGATGACAATAAAAGCTACAAGTTCTGTGTTCTAAGTAACTGTACTCCAAACTGCCCAAATGTAGCAGCAGCCAGGCTTTTCAAATTGGTCTTCCGTCAAACAAAAGGAGGGTCTGGGAAATGTCAATTCTGAAATGAATACACGCATGTGCCCTACAGGTTTTCGGTACAGTAAGGCAAATAGTAATACAATAACTACTCACAAATCGATCGTAAGCAATCGACTTCAAACTATCACCCCTTGAGCTTAGCGATTCAGTTTATAGGTCAACAAAGCTAATAATGACGTTCCAGCTTTCTTTCCAAATCTCACGAAAAGGAATTTCATGCTATGATGTTGGTAAAGGATGTATTTGACGTAATGCAACACAGAAAACAGGCCTACAGGTAGTTAAAGACGGCGACCAATCTTTATCGTCTGGTGCCGAACTGGAATTCAGGAACAATGTGACTAAACATTCCAAGTGGGTTCTCAACCTTGCCATCGATGAATAAATCAGATCTTCATCCCTTGGGATGAAAGCATACTAGCTCCTCACTGTGGTAGTCTTTTTCGACCCTATAATTGCACTTGAATCCGTCGATCGACAGGCTTTGTAGTATCCTATGTAATTAAATAGTACACCAAAGTCTATTTTAGACCTGCTGAAAGCAGTTTACTTGAATACTGTCGGTGGAGTGGGTGCCTATAGTAGTCTGTCATCGGAAGTGGATCATCATGGTTTCCTAGCCTTTCCCTTTTGTTTAGTTTTGCCTCCTAGATTACAAGTAAATAAATAGAGCTTTAGGAAATCAGATGGATTGGGGACGAAAGAAAACTAACTCGTTCACCAGATACTTGGGTATGAGCCACACCAAGTGTGAGGGCTAATAATACTATTCGGTTGCCCTTACCAAATTAGATGGTGAAGTAGTTGAACCTTCGATTTAGTGGTTGAAAGCTGAACCTCCTAACCAATAAGTCACAACATAAACTTTTGCTGGTATTCAAGTAACGAGTTAAACATAATAAAGGAAATCGATAGATAAACAAATGTGTTACGGGTACCGGGTCTTATAGAAAGACTCAGTAAATAATCCATAAGTTTTCCACACAATAATATGCCAATTCTGGTGTTCACTGATATTCAGACGACCATTGGAGGTTTCGAAATTTCTGTTGTTTTCTATATATATGGTTAACGTTTTATCACTTACAAGTCCAACGATGATAGGAATGTAGTAGGTTTTTGTCTATAAATTCGATTTTATCAGATTAAATTAATCCTTGTGTTGTTAACCTTAGTCTTTAAAATGGACTACTTGACGTGCTAGTTACTGGAAATTCATCATACTATACATCCATCATTTTTAGCTCTTGGGTTCATGGTGCATCAAAACCCTGTTTTGCAATTCTTCCTGTTTGTGTGCACTTTATATGTCTCATCATCATCATCTATACCGTGGCCACCAAAAGAAAACTATTTTGATCAGACTTTGGATCACTATAATTTTCAAGCAAGAAACTTGACTTTCAAACAGCGTTATCTGTATGAAGGTAAGGTATTTACATATTTTGATTGCTTCTTTGAAAAATAGATAAATGGTTCAAACCAAATGGACCCATCTTCTTTTATTGTGGAAACGAAGGAGGAATCGATGGGTTTTGGAACAATACAGGGCTAATATTCGAATTAGCACCTAGTTTTAATGCTTTCGTCCTGTTTGCTGAACATGTATGTATTAAATACATTCAGTAACTAGTTATTCGAACCAGAGATACTATGGGAAAAGTCTCCCATTTGATAAAAGCTTCCAACAGCCATATATTCAATACCTTTCAGTTGACCAAGCGTTAGCAGATTATGCTTACTTAATTGAAGGTATCAAAAGTAAATTCAATATAAGTAGATCCCTTGTTGTTGCATTTGGTGGAAGGTAAGTTCTGTATTTCATGTTTACTTTATATCACAGCTATGGAGGCATGCTTGCAGCGTATATGAGGGCTAAATATCCCCATATAATTAAAGGTGCTTTAGCTGCAAGTGCACCAGTTAGATGGGTTGCAGGTGAGGGGAATTTTCACGACTTTTTTGAACGTGTCACTAAGGTAAGTACTCTTGTCCTTGATGAGTAGTTTTATTATTTAGGACTACCATGATGCTGATCCAAAATGTTCAGAGAAGATTAAAAACGCCTTTAATTTAGCTGTTCAGCTATCTCAGAAACCTGATATCGGTAGGCTGTAAAAGGTTTAACTATCAGTTTATCAGTATCAGTTTTCATAAACATTTTGGTGATTCAACTGTGTTCGGATTGAGTTGTTCTTCCATGTGACACCACTAATAATGAACATTTGCTTGAAATTATAATGTTTGTTCAGTAAAATATCGGTACAAAATTCTGTTCTACAATTTTATTTAGATTTTTGCGTCCGATTTTTTTTTACAATAATGTCCTTTGATTTGTATTCGATTTGTAAAGACGCAGACATATTTAGAGTTAGCTTTTGGATAAATAAACGTAGATCTAAATACGTAAATACAGTTTACAATTTATAAGTAACGTGATTATCCCCACAAGGTCTTCTCAGTTTTCAGAAAAAAATGAATACAGTTTCAAAGTCATTCACTAATTTCGACTTCAGTCTAAAATTCAAAGTAATTCTGTGTGCATGGTATGGTAAGAAGGAAGACTTAGTTAAGACTAAATTGAATGAACCGGAAAGTGACTCAAGAGTTCTTGCTCATCTTGAAAAGTTAAGGTGAAGTGAAGTTTTCAAATATGCCAGTTTTATTCTTCCAAAACTGTTTACTGATGTCAATATTTATGAAGTGCCCATAAAAAGTGTTTGGTGAGCATTTGTTAATTTTCACTACTTGTTACAGTTGTCCACAGCTATTTAATGATGATACTGGCTCTAATTATTTTACTCATGGCGATAAACACTTAAACGTTTTTTTGGTAAATCAAGTTCATTTCAATATATCTGTATGTATTATACACTCACCTACTAATGCTGAAACCTATAAGCAATGTTTATTTAGTGTACATCTATCTTTCCTGTTAGTTTTGTTCATTCTGTCTCAAGGTGTGGCATTGTTGTACTAATTTTCTTGACTTTCGCTATATGATTTTATTTTCGGATTTTTCGCCGGGTATATTAGTCTTTGGTTGATCAGATAAAGTAAAGTATTAATTTTGGTGTTATTGTCAATTTGTTGTATAAACAACCATATATTTTGAGATACATATCCATGCTTAACTCTTGTTTAAAGTATTTATAAAAATGTCATTTTACAGGTTACAAACAACTCTCTAATGACCTACGGTTATGTAAACCTGTCCAAAATGATTTCGAATTTTACTGGGTACTGAAATGGGCTCGCAATGCATTTGTTATGATGGCTATGTTAGATTATCCCTACAAGGCATCATTTATGGCAAGTCTACCTGCTAATCCTGTAAATGTCTCGTGCAAAATTGCGTTATCAGTCGCTGATCTCATTCCGACCCTTCGTGAGGCTGTTGGAGTTTTCTACAACAGTTCACAATGTATGTTTACCATATCCCGTTGCTTTTTATTATACTTTTTAGGATATTCCACGTGAGTACGTTCTTACTCGCTTGTCATCGGACTTAACTCCTTCAGTACATAAGGTCCATGGACTTTCTGACGAAGGCATTAGTATATTCATCCAACAGTATCAGTATCAGTATTTATACCTTTGCCTTCAAATACCAATACCTGATATCTATCTTTGGTTATCTGTGCAGTTGTAGTTGAGAGAAATATCTGCTGCCTAAGTTTCAGCCTAGTCAAACTTTTCATTAACCCTTACAACTACACTGTTGTTTTGTGTACATAGTGGAGGTTACTTAAAAGCTGATTGATTTTTTGTTGGTTAGATGTGGATGGGACTTAAATTTATTCTTACTTCACGGTATCATAAAAGATTTCAGTCATGTCTCAATAATATACTACACATCTGTTGTGAAATTTCTTCTTCATAGAAGTAGCTTTCAAGCCATGCAAACCTCTGGTTCGAGTTAAAAGATTCAGACTTGAGAACAGAACAAAAATTGACGCCGATGAACTTGGTGTTAAAGAATTGGGGAGTATTGTTCTTTAATGACTTTTGAGAATACAATGCGAAACTACGATATTGGGAAAAAGTAATGAAATATTAATTGTTATGATCAACCTAACCACCAAAACATCAGTTTTCAGGAGGATTTTTGTTTTGTCTAGTTTTATGGAATTGTAATTAATCCATAGAATTTAGTAAGACAGACACAGAATCATTCACATTGTCAAGAGAAATGTTTCCAGTTTCTTAATAAGACATTAAGTACACCACCTTAGTATTTTCACAAACGGTATCAAGAGTTATGGAAAAGGTGAAAATATGATTATAACGATAAAACTGGTACAAAAAAATATAAATTTAAAGATGTCACTTATTAAAATCATACTCACATTACTCCTATGGTTTTTGAAAGGGGATATAAGCTGTGTTTTGTAACCAATGTGCACATCCTATCTCATTTAACCGAACTAAATACTATTGAAAAGTCACAGGTTTTCTTTTCCACCACTAAAACTAATAGTAGTCAAATAATTTGTTAATGATACTTTTATTCCAATTATCTTGCTAAAATGTACAACAAATTACAAACATACAGCTTAGGTAAGTAGTTAAGCAATCCAATCAACTATTTTTTAAACGATAAACAATACAATATTGATTGTTAAGCAAAAAAGCTTGTAGCTGAGACTGCGAAAAATTTCTGATTTAAATTTTCCTTGAAATATTCAGAATCATCGTCCTAAATATATTTCAGAAGCTTGAATGCAGTTAAAATAGTATATAAATACGGTTTATACTATGTTAAATGCTTTAGTTCTAAGTGAGCACCTTTCTGTTAATTTGTATGCGAAAATAAGGGTTTAGGAATTGAGAAAGTTGAAAAACTGCTATTAATCGTTTAGCCCCCAATATAGAATTTAATTTACCCTGATAATAATAGAAGTATGTTTTGTTAAAAAAAATTAAATTTTAGCTCTCTCGTGTTTCGACTATAAAACACAGTTTATTGAGTGCGCTGATATAACAGGATGTGGTCTAGGCAGTGATTCACTTGCTTGGGATTTTCAGGTCAGTAATTATTTCCTTCTAATTAAATTTAATCCATGAAGTAAGGATATATCAGCTTTAGGATGTGATTTGTTATTGTGAAAATCTTTGAATAATTTATCTTTTGGCTAAGTAACGAACTCGATCTCAATGTAGAGCGAGGCGTTTGAGATATTTTAAATCACTTGCAGTGAGTTGGTAATGTGAAATTTATCACCTTTTTACTAAGACTTAAAGCTATCCTAATAAATTTATGTATTAATCAAGATTAATTGCTACTAAACGTATCATAATTTTCCCTGTTGTTAAGTACATGACTGTTTTACTTCTCATAAACACATTTCGGTAATATAAAGACTTTTATTTGAAATGGGACATTAAAAAATCTTCAATGTACAGAACAGAATCTCTGTTTTCACTTTGAAAGAGAGAGCTCTGTTTGAATTTCACGATTATAATCCCATTATCCTATCCGTCAAATAGTTTTTCTTTCAGGTTATTAATGTTGGCAAATAATAATCACCAGTAAATCCAAGGTATGTGGTGAAGATTTGTAGGTCAAGAGGCGGATTTGCGAGATGTTGTAGCCTTTTCTACAAAAATGTGGTCACATGTCATTAGCCTTTGAAAATTCATTGTAGCTTTAATCTTTGAACATAAATTTGTACAAGATTATTGTTTACCTACGTACAGACTATCTAGTTGGGGTCCGTGTAATTGTGGTAACTAATGTTTAGAAACGTCGTTTGATATGGCTCAAAATCGGCCACTGTGGCACTGATGCAGCTACTCTTTGTCTTCCTTTAGATAATGAGTTTCAAAATTATGTTATACCTTTCATTGTACAAATTCATTGGTCTCAAATCTGTGTTCCTAAACTTATTTACTCCCGTCTACACTACTACTGTGGATAGGGGGCATCGAGTGGAATGTTCTGGTGGGGTGGCGTTAGGTCTATCAGTCGTTATCAACAGAGAGTAGAAGTGGGACGTGGGTTGACATTGGATTTAGATGGTCCGGCAGGTCGATAGAACTACGGAGGTCAGCGCGCCGGTGGACTCGATTCTTCGATGAAGAGTGTGGCACGGTGAGCAGAACAACTGCAGGAGCGACGGTTCAAACGAGGGACGAGTGTAGTGTATGCTACTTGTGTTGACAGATATAAGTAGTATGTAGCACCAATCGAAAGTGGAATGTATGGTACCAGAAAATTGCAATAAAGAGGACAGGAAAGAAATCTAAGAGTAATCGAAGTAACAACAGAATTAGAGGAATAATGGAGTATGTAAAGGACAACGCAAAGAAGATGTGCATATGATGCATTTAATGTATGATTTTCATAATTTACTAAACCACTGCATGATTTCTCACTAAACAATAAAATAATTTTCCCCACCAAGGATTCATTCACTACACTACAACTAATATTATTCTAGTACTCATCTTGTCGATTTCACTTCGTTGTTTTGATGCAGTGTTGCAACTCGAATAGATACGAGTATGTTTCGAGTTGCTTCGGACTGACTTATCAAACGCAGTCTTAGTGTACAACTAATGTGATTGTCAAATTATTTTTTCGCACTTAATTATCTATACTAACCGTCTCGTTTTGTTCATCATCAAAAAATTACTCTTTTGTAATTGTTTTTTATTCTAGAGTTGTACAGAGATGAATTTACACGATGACTCAGATAGTACTACAAATGATATGTTCACCTCTTTACCTCTAACAAAACAACAAGTAACAAGTTATTGCCAACGAAGGTGGGGTGTTACACCAGCATTTAATCAATTGTCAACATTTTATGGTGATAATAGTATGTTATATTGTTGTTTTTGTTATGGTTATTGGCTTAATTTGTTCTTTTTATTACATAATATTTTCAAAATAAGGATTTTTATTAACAAGATATTTTTTTTCTATTCACTAAGTAAATAATTAGTTACAAATTTCAAATGTCTTAAACATCAAATGAATATATTACAGTTTAATTCAATCATTTAATCTGATAATCTTGAATTCAATGGAGGCTTTATCTTATATTCTTACTGGTTAAGCCTGTCTATCGTCTAATCGATAATCTCCACTGCACACATATTTTTACATCCATGGATAATCAAGTGTTTCTTTTTTCTGTGTAATTTTAATAAGGATCATGTCTATGGTTGTTAGTGTGGGTGCAATATTGGGAATGATAAAACCTGTTACATTCTGTAAAGAAATATTCAGCAAAGAATGTAAATATTTGAAATTCTAACCGATTTCACAATTATGGAACAGCACAAATAGAGTTTTATTTGGTACAGGGGACATTGTATTGTTTAAATCTTGAGTATGTATACAGTAATGGTCAATCTATAAATGGTCACTAGTCTTCGGATTTTCAAAGAATAAGCAAAAGAACCATGGCAAATAAAATGAAAATGTTACAGTGGTCAAACTAATTGATTCCCCATTTTTTCCCACCCTTAATCTCAGAATATCGAATGATAAATGGAAAATATTGAATAAACTTTGTTTAAACGATACATAGTTACGTATCCAAAGTAAAAAGGATTAAATTATTGAATCTCGATTTTCGTTTCCCAACAAATTATATTTGTCCATGAATAAGATATAGTTGTTTATGTGGTGTTTGTTTGTAAATCCTTCTTATACGTATCTTGTCAACATTGTCTAAAATTATGTTTATTACTAACATTATGGAAAATTCATTAGTATTTTCATCATGAACAATCCTTTCCTTCTCCTGTTTACGTTTTTCTTTCTAACTAAAATCTCTCATAGTTTACATAACTAAGAGACCTTAGTTAGATAATCACCGGAAACAAATAGAGCACTGGGTAGTATTCATGACCTAACTGGGTTTCAAATGCAGGACCCTGAAGTGCCACTCTATGTCCTCACCAGTGACTAATTTCGACAGATAACTCCCGCAATTCTAGTGGAAAGCTGTGATCGGTGGAGTTCAGCCATGTTGTATGTAAGTCAGTTATCCACCAGTGATATGGGGAGGTGGTTACTTAATATCAAGATTTTATTAAAGTCAAGCGTTTGCTCTCGAGACTTGAAGATCATGGGTCGTTAACGATCACTTTCCAGTGCTTCGTGATTTTCGATACTTGTCTAACTGAGGTCGGTTCGTGATGTAAACTATGAAAATCAATCGATTTCACTTTGACGTTTAGTATTAAGTCAAATTAATTACTTTAGCCTGGAGGTCACAGCTTATTTTGTCACTTATTTTTATCGTCCTGATAAATGAGTTTTTTATATTGTGCATGGAATAACATAGCCTCTTTAAGTTAGGTGGTTTATGAAAATTTGTTTAATTTGACAATGTTCTTCATAACAGACTGACTGGTAATAGCTAGTATTGATTTACTAAAAAAGACACTAAACAGTTGTTTAGTCCCAGCGATGGACTCTTCTGAAGTACCTATGTACAATGCCACAATGAATCTGAACCTGCATTTTTATGTTTTATTAATAGTCAAAAAATTATGAATCATTGAATTTCTACTCTGGTTGAATATCTTCGTGTTGGATGGTGGTACGCATACACCACTAAGAAATCGTAGATTAGGACTAACCGGCTGACTGATAACTGTTCAGTCATTTGCGGTGGTTCTCTGTTTAATGCTAGTGTATACCGTGAATCATTTAGCCTAGATTGTTACGTTTCTTATCCCATTATTCTAACTCTTTTCATCTTAACCGTTAAAACATATTGAAAACACTTTTAAAAAATATAACTATATTTTCAGTTTGGAAAACTTCAAGCAATATCATATTTTCAAATGGGAATTTGGATCCATGGATGGGTGGTGGAGTAAGTAGGATGTTTGATCTATTTTTGTTTTTTCTCACTAATTCTAATTTATGGATAGAGTTTTTTATGAATCAGACGTGTTTTATACGACCCCGTGTTGTTTTATTTATACAATTAATATAAAATTATGCATTATTGTTCATTTAATTTTGGTGAGAGTGTTGTATCTTTTTGTTGGAATTCATGTTTTGTAATTCGAATCACGAAAGGACCTAGGTTAGATGACCACTAAAAACCGGTAAGCTTTAGACAATTGTCTCATCCAAGTATGGGATTCCTCAGCAATTGGCATCTATAACTATACCACCGAGACTGTTAAGTAAAAGTCAACTATTTTTGAAGTTGCGTTCTCTGAGTTAGATAGTGGTCTAGTCGTGAAGCTTTCATTGTCCTTATCGATAACATGATCAGTAAATCATATTTTTGAGCTATAAATCCTCTTATTTATTTATTTACTTGAACACATAAATATTGGTACAAGGGGACACCGAATATATATGCGCCACACAAAACTGTATATTTTGTCTTCTGTTTCAAGGGTATATTTACTGCTTACTAAGTCATCTAATATGTTTAGTGTAAATATAAAATGTTAATTATTTAACTGTTATAAACAAATTTGAAGTGATATCTTTTTGTGGTTAAACGACTGAATTTCCAAATAATACGTCTCATCTGTATACCTCGCTTCACCTACTTCGATTTAAACAGCTAGGATGGTATCATTATCTATGAAACATCAAAAGGTGTGATTAAAAACCCAGTAAATAAACCTATGTTTTGGTAAATGCTTTGCATAATATTATGTTTTCTCAAGCGAATTTGCAATTTACTACTGAAGTCACAAGTTTTGACAGTACTATCCATAAAAGACTGTATCTGTCAGTTAGGTGGTAATCGTTATTCAGATATGGTAATGGAAATAATTGTTTTGTGTTCTTAAGTCTTTGTATTTACAAATGACAGTTTTAGATTCTCTGTAGAACTAACAGCTATCCACTGAATACCCAAAAGCATAGTGAAATGTAAAAAATTTTGACTTATATATTTCTAATCTCCACAACTGAGGAAAAAAAAATCTTACTGCTATCATATCCGTACTCACTAATCAGACCATATTCGGAGACTCTTATATCAATAGATTATGGTAAAATATTATGATAGTTTTGTTTATTAGCTTAATCACTCTTCAAACCATTTTCTTATTATAGTAGGACTTTAAGAAATAAACATTCCAGTCAGTTTAGATCGACTGTTATATTGTTGTCACTAATTCACAGCACATCTATCGTATCATTCAAGTTAATGGTACTTGATTAAAGTTAATTAACTGACATTAGATCAATAGTTGGACAACATAATTACTAATTACTAATAGTTTAACATGTAAACATTTTCTAACAGACTACATAGTTATTACTATGGTCATTAGGTCAATTCGACCATATTTATTATCAAAGTGTTCTCATACAATTTATTCATTAGAATGATATATGTCATATAGTTAAACAAGTTAATTTATCGAATTATATTCAGGGTACAGTTTTTTTTAATGGTTTGCTAGAATGTCGATGTAATTATTAAAACTATGAAACCCGATAATTTTTTGTAATTTACAAATATTCATTCAATTTATTACACTCATCTATGTTTGAAGTCAAACTTTGCACTAATCAATTTTTCTATTTTTATCATTGTTAGATTTTAACTGATCAATCAGAGAAAGTCATCTCCTTGGTACTAGATGGTGGAGCTCATCATCTTGATTTAAGGTATTTATTTTTCCTCTCCCGATTTGTCCAGTTTAATGAAAAGTATTCAGTTGATAAATGAATTAGGCTTGCAAAACTGTTCATCAATACCTACCTGTGTAAGTAAATAATCAAAGATGAAGTTGAAAAGTAACGGAATAGTATTTTGTGTGGAAACGAAAATAGTATGCATATTCACCAGTCATGCTACTCGAGCCACTGGTTTCCGCCACCTCATAGAAACACCATAATCCGTCATTCATGTAACCCATACCAGGTCTTAATTAACCTGCCTAGCTAAGTATAAGATTGTGTTATAAATTACAAAGTTGCACATAAAAATATCGTTCTACAAAAATTCACCTGACTAAATGAGATGAATTAATAACTTCGACCCGTTGAACAATAGTCCAGTTACATAATACCTGTTGAAATTTGTATTCGCTCATGATTTGATCAGGTATTTATTCGATATCAATCAATCTGTCTGTCAAGCGCAACGTAGAATCTGGTACTCATGTACATCAGTTCAAGTTGTCAACACCTCACTAACACGGCGAGATGAAATTGTTAGGGAAAATCCTATATTAGTAGAGGTAGTTATAGTATTGTTAAGAATATTATTTTGTTCTCTTTCTTCTCATATCTTTTCTTTTTCTTCAATCACATAGATCACCAGATCCAAACGACCCGCCATCAGCACGTCAAGTTCGTCAAATTGAGGTACAAACAATTCGTTCATGGCTTGATTTATGAAACTTCTAAATATTCTTACTACACTTTGTAATCTTTTTCTTTCTTTCTAAGTGAATCATATTCTTCATTCTGTTCATTACTATTTTTATCTTCCCAAGGAAATATCATCATTATCTTGTGATTATAATTACTAAATTTTTCTGATTTGTACCCAGTGCCCCTAGATTATTGAATATTAAATAAAAATTATTTTATTATTGTGATATTCTTGACCAGTATTTTTTTAGCATTCCATTTTATTGTACGGTAAATATAACTCATAAGCCATGCACTTATGCTTGTATAAGATAATTACCTCAATTTAGTATATGTAAGCCAAGAGCATTAGCTATACAATTCCATGACAGATGTTTTTAATAGGAACACCAAATCGCTTACAAATCATCTATTGATATGAATGTTTTGTAGGTATCATTACCAAAGTTTGACTTGATAATTTCGAATAAATTAAGCATTGGGGTAGATTGTTATAAATAAATTAATATATTTGTAGTATTCCACTTCTTCAAAATTGGCTTACACTGAGTCACGAAACGTCAGAAAACTTTATTTTTCTACTCATTGGAATATTACAAATATAATAAATTTATTTATTGTTATGTTTTATGTTAGTAGTTGTCATTGGTTTTTCTTGCGAACACTCCATCATTTTTTTAAAACTACATTCTTATCAATACACTTTACTCATTCAACTATTGAAACGTGTCAGAATCAGGGTTATTTGTATTCTTAATTAGTTAGCCCGATTAATTATAATTAAGCGTGCAGATCATTAAATACAAATAAATTATAATTGTCTATGAATCACAGTAATACGAGATCTATCTTATGCTGGTTCAATTTCATTTATTAAAAAAAGCACTTCAAATCTGTCTGAATTAATCATCAAAAAGTATATCTGTTTAACTATTTTTGGATAAACCATATATAGATAACAACCAAATTTTCTTGAGCATAAATCGAATATCGATCCACTGTAAATTCAAACTAATATGCCAAAAATGGTTCTCCCAGTTACCTCAACGTAATCGGTTCATACAATCAATAGACATGGTACTTACTTGAAATTGTTGGAAATTTATACGTGTGCAAATAGATATTTTGGATCCGACTGAAAACCCTTCAAAATCACTGATCAAAATTGAAAATGACTTTGAATGTCTTGATTCATAGAGTAGCCTAAATGAGATTATTTGAAATTCGGCAATTTTTCCTGTCAATTTCATTCATTCGAATTATGAATAAGAATACTAACAGATCATGATCAATGAGGAATATCTGTTGAAAAATTACTTTGTGTTAAGAAACTACTTGAACTATACACGTGATAATTTGTTACAGACCAGTTTGATTAATATATCAGATGATACTTACAAGTTGTACCAAATGTGAGTAAATATACGTGTGATAAATAAGGTGGCAGCTAAGGAAGATGTTATCCTAGTGATAGAAATAATAAAGATGTCTCTCAAATTAGAAATTAAATTTATTTATGAACAGACTGTTTATCGCATACATTCACTGATTAGAATTTTATTTATCAAAGTTCTCAGTTAGTCAATCATAATCAACGTTTATCCTGACAGAAATGTACCTTAGCAGAAGTTGCTATACCATATTGGCATAATGAATAACAGAGGAATTGACATAATTGAAGTAAAAATGATAGTCAGGAACAACAAACATTGAGAAATCAGTTTTAGATGACGGAATAGAAGTATATATAGGAAGGAATATTGGGGATTAAGATAAAAAGTATATGCTACTCATAATATTTTGACTGATTCTGGGTTATGTCACTCAACATCTTCAACCACTGATCGTTACTGCCACGTAGACGTCAAGCAGATTGTTCGCACCCGCCGAAACGGTTCAGGCAGAATAAGTGACTTACTGAACTGACGCCGCGTCTTGGTTGGGACACCCCTGACGTTCTTCCTTCTTACGCCTATTGCAGATATCGCTGTGAGTCATGGTAGACTACCGACAGAGCAGAAAACCTAGAGACTATTTTCAGCCATCATACATCAAATCCATTCTCTGTTTTATTGACTGATAATTGTAACATCAATAGATGATTGGACACATGACCGATTACGAACTCTTAAGTTTGTTTTCTATAAGCAAAGATGGATAGTGGCTAGCACTGGAATCCAGGACGCGCGTCTCGTCCTATTTGGGAGTCGTCAGCTGGATGTACCTGTATCTCAGAGTTGATATTCACTCTGGGAATTAAGGCAATATCGAGACATACGCACAGTATGCACATATGCCTATAACAGACTGATCAATTGCAGTCTTAAACCTCAATGGGAAGATACAAGCAAAACAATATCAAGTGAACTTAAGTTTGTTTGTTTGATATTTTAGATTACTTCCTTAGAACATCTTGGACGAAATAAGGGGTGAAAGAGTAGTAATGAACTAAAGCTTCCTTTTGTATATACAGATTAGAGTTGAGACGACAAATAGCTGTTAATTCTACGTAATATATAAGTTTGCCTTCTGTCTAATTATCATCGTTGAAAGTATTGCCCGTTCAGGAAATTTCATGAGAAAATAGAACAAGTTTAAGGAATTTTGTCTTGTATCTCCAGATGGCATGTGAATTTGAAGGTCTAAGTAACTGACCAACGTGGTATCAGTCATTACGTATGATGAAAATATCAAAAACACATATCAAATAAAACGTTTGTTTTATCGCACGCTTGGGTTTGACTTTTTTAAAATTTGTACTTGAAAAATGTCGGTAAATATTAGGCCAAGTGGACTACCCATAGTTAAACTTTCTGTCCCTCTATAATACTTTACATTAAATAAACGGCAAAGTTTTCGTGTATAATAGATATGATTCTACCAACCTTTTTTCAGAAAGTTAGTCCTGTCAGCGTAACCGCATACACAATATCAAATCTTTTCTGTTTAAACCTTAGTTAATGAAAACTGCACTGAAAGAAATCTTTTACTTTCTTCTCAATCTGGTACCACCTATTCTACTAAAAAAAGTCAAAACTATCTCTTAAACTGTGTACGACTACTTATTTTCTTATAGATTTAATCAACTGAGCGAATCATAAAGATAATAATGAATTACTTATCAAAAAGACAAGTAATGGTAGGTTATGCATTTAAAATAGACTCTATGTCTTTCTTTGACAAGTAGATACCACTAAACTTTAAATATTTCCAAGTTGATCATCCAGTATTTATCTTTGAATATCTAGTTTAACTAAATGATTTAATTAATTAATGAAAATAAACGAAAAAGAATTTAAATCTGTCATAAACTTGAAATATTCATTTATATGTAACACATTATAATATAAACAATAATTTTAAACAGACAGTACAAGGTTCATTTAATTTATAACAGAAATAATCTTAAATAGTCTGTACATTGAAAAAATCTCAATTTTTGTGTTATATATGAAATAGTTTGTTACAAATAATGGAAAATAAGGAAGGAAAAAAAACTACCATAGAAACATTTATAAACCAAGATTAAAGTATATAATTAAAGACCTTTGTGCTTAATATTTTGTTGAACATGCATAATTGTAATATATTACATGTATTTCATAATGATCATGACACAAAAATCAGAGATTAGTTGAGAATAAATGATATCAATTAACTTATAAAATTTGATCACTTCTATTGAAGGTAGAAAAGCGTTTTCTTTTTGTTATGACTTTATGTCTGGCTTGTTATTACGTGATTTATCCACCAATCAAAATACAACTTATACAAATATTCGCACTGTGCCAAATCAATGACGTTCAACCGATATGAGCAGTCTAGCGTCCTTATTGGTCCCATATCCTCCTAGCCCGTTCACTTGAGTCCAGAACACAATACCAGCTTCTGAAATATGAATCGAATCGAATCGTTTATTTCAGACATACTCGGTTTATATATCAACCAGACAGACCACAAAGTACTATAAAATAGAAAATAACATGTGTACACAATAAAGCCAAAAAGTGACTGTGTGTGTGGGGGGGAGGCAGTAGTTAATAAATTGAAGATAGCTTAAGAACCGTAAATCGTAGAATAATAAATTCTAGATCAAAATAAAGCTTATAATAAGAAGAATATAAATATACGTAATCTAATTGTTGAATAGTTATACAATAAGAATATTTATAGAATATTAGTTTATTAATAGTCCTCGGAAGTTACCCGTAATTTAATCTTTGCTCGGATATAACACTTTTTTCTCTAAAAAGAGAATAACTATAGAATTACTTCCATGATATGCATATCTTTTTCATACAACATGAACGAGCTTTGGAAAAATAATAATCGTCTAATTGAAAAATCTAACGATGCGTTGAATGTGTTTTTGACTGGTCTTATCACTATTATTATTATTATTATTATTATTATTATTATTATTATTATTATTATTATTATTATTACTATTATTGATGGCTTTATTCATTATTATTCTTTGGTACAATATAGAATTCTCAGTACGAAGTACTGAAACAAGTTTCTTTTACAAAAACAAAAGAAAATCAGAAATGAAAAAGGTGAAAAAAAGATCTGAATCTGTAGAACTTTTCAAATTAGAATACAGGCTATAGATACTAAGTCAACTCTGATTGATTAAAATTCAATACAAATTTTTATAAAGCCCTATAACATATTTTAAAAAACCCCAACGTGAATGAACATATTTTTGCTAGTTTCGTTTCCAAGCTATCAACAATTATAAATCTATATGAACATTCGTCAATATTAGAACGAATAGTTTGACAAAAATTGGGCACTGAGTATAAAAAAGTCATTATAAGTGAAAATTATATTTGAAATAATCTCAGCGATTGAAACTTAAAATAATTCCAACGTTTCGTCCAGCTAACTTGTCCGGACTTCTTCAGGACAATAATCGAAATGAAATAGCGTTTTTACAATCAAATCTATAATGTGCTAATCCAATCATATTTAGATGTTGACTTTAGTAAATAGGATTATATGAGTCAGTTAAATGAGAATCATGTGAAAAGTTCACAATGTTAAAATAAATGACTGAACGAATTGTGCGTGTGTGTATGGATGTGCAAGACTGAGTTATCAATGATTGATATCCGGTGTTAATATGTTTTTATATGAAGGAATAAATAAATAAAACAAAAGTGTATGTTGAAGGCTGAAAATAGTTTTTAGAATCTGATTCAGATTTGAATTTACGATGCCCATTAGATCCATCTGAGGTTATCAAATTGCTTGGAATTATGTTTAATATCCACTTTATATTTCGAGGAGATCTTTACAGACAAAAAGAAGGTATAGGAATGGGTTCGCCAGTTTCTTCGATTGTAGCGAATTTGTTCATGCATTCTGTAGGAACCAATGCTATTGCGAGAAGTGTATGTCCACCAAATGGTCTGGTTACGGTATGTAGATGACATTTTTATTATCGTTAAACAGGATGGTTTGGAAGATTTATTTGAAAATGTAAACAACATTTCGGAGAGCATTAATCTAACGAAGGAAATAGAATCCGTTGACCATAAATTAGCGTTTCTCGATTGTTTAATTGAACGAAGACATAATAATTTGAAAATAAATGTATTCAGGAAACCAACACATTTTTAGAGATACTTAGATTATTGTTCGGCTCATGCGCAGTGTACGAAAGTCAATGTTGTAAAAAATTTAATGAATAGAAGTATTATAGTCGTTACAGATAAGGAAGACCAACAAGTTGAGTTGGATAGAGTTTTGTCTACACTTAAGGATAGCAACTACCCAAAAGAGTTTTTCAAGAAGGTTATTAGAAAAGAAAGATTAAACTAGAATGTATACTGAAAGATTGGAAGTCCACAGTGGTCATCCCATACCGTAGCGACATGTTAGAAGAAATCAAGCAGATTCTAAACAAGCGTGATTTAAGAGTGTATTTTCGCGCTGGTGACACCATAAGATCGGCATTAGTGAAAGTTAAGCGTAGGTTCTCAAAGGAGAAACAACAACATGTTGTCTATGAGATCAACTGTCATGATAGTAATGAAGTTCATATGGAGGAAACATCCAAACAATTGAATGTAAGGCTGAAGGAACACAAACAGTGTCTGGAAAATGTTCCCGAATCCTCAGTTGATCTAATAAAACTTGAGAATGAGTTTGCGGTAGCGTTACATGCATTAGAAACAGGACACAAGATTAATTTTGAAGGGATCGAAAATATTTCAGATAAGTTTTAACACTCATAAAGAAAAATTGACAGCAGAAGCGCTGTATATATGGGCGAATAAGAACAGCCTAATCAGAAAGGATGTTATTCAGCTAGCAACTACTCAGAAAATATTCGTTAACAAGTAATTGGACCCATTCATTATTCAACTTGTTTATTTCACATGCATCGTTATTTTGACTGAAATTAATGTTAGTTATTTTTAGCAATACAATTGTGTCAATAGTTGAAATCATGAGTCAATTGAAGCTACACCACCATGGAAAACCTGGCCGTTTAGTGCTTCCAGGTTTTTCATGGTGGTCTAGCTTCAATTGACTCATGATTTCAACTATTGAAATTTCTAAAATCTCCACAAAACCTCGTCTGATAATACAATTATGTATTTGCTGATTCTCAATTTTACTTGTAATTCAATGATTCAGAAAGAATTTTTTCAGCCTTCAACTTGCACTTTTATTTTATTTATTCCTTCATATAAAAACATATTAACACCGGATATCAATCATTGATAACTCAATCTTACACATCCATACACACATTGTGAACTTTTCACATGATTCTTATTTAACTGACTCATATTATCCTATTTACTAAAGTCAACATTTTAATATGATTGGATTAGCACATTATGGATTTGATTGTTTTGATGATTTTGCTTATTACCCTGAACTCCAGACAAGTTTTCACACATATTGAATTATAAGTCTATTTGTATTGTGCTATGCCTTATAGTATTTACGGTATAAACTTAAAGGTTAAAAATAAATTAATCAGTATTATGGACTGAAAATAGTGAATTTCAAGTTGATTAAATCTTAAGTACTTACCAAAAGCGTCCACAGTAGTGCTAAGAAGTCATATATAATAATTCAGTCACAGACGTCCAAAGATGCAGTAAGGCTGAGGAATGATCCATTTCCACACCTGATATACTCACACGCGTCCTGCAGTTTATAATTTCTTTTAAGGAAGTTCTGCTTACTACCTTCATGTACCAAGATTGTTTTTGAATAAGTGAGTTAGAGAGGAAAAAGATTATTAGAGCTTCAACTGTGTTGCTGGATACCGAAGCCCCATCCTTTCTAGTTAGAAAATCATAGTTCGAAACCTATGTGATTCAATAGCTTCAGGATTCTGAGAAGATGAACAGCCTGGAAGCAGGATTCATTCACCAACTACCACTATCTTGTGTATTAGACTCATATGCAAAAGGCTCACCAGTAGTCAAAACGTTTCACATCATGTTAAATGCCTGTGCACTCATTAGGAAAGAAGGCCTGAATATTCATCCAACCTGAACTGTTTATCCAAGCAACTACATCTGACGTTATTTGCTTTCAACACCATCTATACACACATTCATTTTCTACCCTTCTACTTCATATTATAAATACATACATTTATCAAACCCGCATTCTGGTGCACAAATTAATACGGTATCAGGTCATACAAATTCACCATGATCAAGAATAACTTGACACTGCCATACTCAGACCTATTATAGTTTTAATTGTACTAACAATATTCTGCATTGTTCCCTTTATGCAATCTAAACTTTTGTTGGTTTTTTTTCACTTTACTTTGAAGTAGTGGCTTACAATAAGTCACGAAACGTCAGAAGCACAATTTTCTACTCATTAGGATATCACAAAAATATATTTACTATCGATACAATAGATATGTTCAATTAGATTGTTAACCAACGTCCGATAAAATCTCACATAAACTTGTAATGTTAATAAAAAGTAACAATAGATATTAGGAGCTAAACAAAATCATATTTCAATAGTTAAGATCATGAGTCAATTGAAGTTAGATCATCATGGAAAACCTGTAAGCACTCAACAACCGTTTTGTCCTTTTGTGGAACTCCTCCATGATCCCACCTCGCGAGATTTGAACTCAGGATCTATCGATCTCACTTACGAACGCTTAACCTCTAAACCACTGAGCTGACCAACATCATAAAATAATGTTAATATGTAACTTCAGCTAGTCCATGAAATTCTATTTATTAAATGCTCATTTCATTTTTTGTTTTTTATTTTTAGAAACTAAAACTGACTTTTAGATTTTCAATACGAATGTCAAGACAGTTCTACTGTCTACTGGGGCGGAAACCTGGAAAATTACGAAAGCCATCATCCAGAAGATACAAGTGTTTATTAACAAATGTCAACGCAAAATACTTCGGATTCGTTGGCCGGACACTATTAGCAACAACCAACTGTAGGAAAGAACAAACCAGATCCTAGTGGAGGAAGAAATCAAGAAGTGCTGGAAGTGAATAGGACACACGTTGAGGAAGGCACCAAACTGCGTCACAAAACAAGCCCTCACATGGAATCCTCAAGGTCAAAGGAGGAGAGGAAGACCGAAGAACACATTACGCCGGGAAACAGAGATAGACATGAGAAAAATGAACAAGAATTGGATAAAATTAGAAAGGAAGGCCCAGGACAGAGTGGGTTGGAGAATGCTGGTCGGTGGCCTATCCTCCATTAGGAGTAACAGGCATAAGTAAGTAAATAAGTAAAACTGACTTTTAAAATATTCCCATTAGAAAATTATAAAAAGTAACAATTATTTTGTTTTTCAACATTAAAAAAGAAAACAAATTTTTGTTTTTGAATAGTTTCTACATAATTCTGTTAAACTTGAGAAATTGAATGAAAAAAAAGAAAAGAAAATGTTTTTTTTTCTTAAAAGTTTTTTAATAATATTCAATTGTGTATATATAGAAAAATATTATGAATATATTTTCACTATTGTACAATAACATTCATGTAACCCATCAATTGATGTATAGAAAAAACAAAAACAAAACAAAACAATCCCTATAAGAAAGGGAAATAATATGATTGCATTTTATTGATTGATTGATTGATTCATATTACACATCTGAGCATAAATAATTTGACCAAATATTCATTTGATATATTCTATGATGATTGATTGTTTTATTATTATTATTATTATTATTATATTGATTTTTTTGTAAATATTGTTGCTGTATAGCGGAGGATGTGAATCGATTTTGTGCACATTTGGTATTATATTGATTTTCTACGTTTATATCAAAATCTTTTTGAATTTGATTAGATGAAGAAGCATTTATGGGAGATTTTGTATTATTATTATTATTATTATTATTATTATTATTATTATTATTATTATTATTGTGTAACTTGTATAAAATAGAAATGGAATTAGCCAACGATAATAAACCATCAGCACTTTGAGGATTTACAATGGATTCAGTGGTAAATAGATATTCCTTTTTCATAAAGAAAGATAAAAACAAGAAAACAAGTTCATTTACAGATTGTTTCCCATTTTGTTTCACTATTGTTTAAAGTATAAAACAAACATTATTGACTAGATTTTTATTATTTTGTCTATTAAAGTATTTCAGTGACATACTTATTCTAATTGATCTGATTTATTCTACAGTGAAATCTAGTTTCCTTCTTTTTTAAAAAAAATTATAAACTATAGCACTTGTTTTTATCGAATTATAATAGATTTCATTCATGTTATATTCGTCATTACATTTCATTTAAAGAACAAGTATGTTATATTATAGGTAATTATCTAACCTAAGGATTTCAGCTATTTAAGCAATAATGTAAACTGTCAAATTAGGAAACTTATTTACAGAGTATACAAGCCGTTTCCAACTGAATAAAACAAGTCTTTTTTTTACTGCTACATCTGTGTTATTTCTGAGTCTCTTACTTAATTACTTACTTACGCCTGTTACTCCTCATGGAGGAGCATAGGCCGCTCACCAGCACTCTCCATCCAACCCTAGCCTGGGAAATCTTTTCCAGCTCCTTCCAGTTGTTATTCATCCTTTTCATATCTGCTTCTATTTCCCGACGTAATGTGTTCTTTGGCCCACCTGTTTTCCGCTTCCTTTCAGGATTCCAAGTTAAGGATCGCCTCGTGATGCAATTTGGTAACTTCCGTAATATATGTCCTATCCAACTTCGCCTGTAACACTTTTGGAGTTACAGCCGGTCCCAAGCCCGGGTAAAGGAGGAGGGTTGGGCATGGGATTAACGACCTTAACTCCATAGAAAACTAACTCGCTAAAAAACGCTAACCAGAAAAAAATAATTCTGAGTCTCTTAGAAGAGCATAAATAGCTACATAGACAACTACATATAACTAGGAAGTTATTCATGTGTATAATTGTAAATTTATTGAATTTGTGATATAGCATAACTATTCGATGATACAATTCAAATCCTTTCATGCATTTGTTCTCTATATAGAGCTCAGATAACATAGTATAATCAAAATATTCTAGATTCAGAAGAAAAAACAAACAAACTCATTTTTAACTAAGATTGTTTTATAATCTTACTTTAGGTACACCATAACGATATATTGATTCACGACAACGTCTTAAATTTCGACGATAAGATTTGACTACTTCATTTAACATATTATGATGCTGATCATTTCTAGGTAAACAGATCTAAATAAATAAATAAAGAGAAATTCATCACTTTAATAATGTTTAGAAGGTTAAACAATAAAAAGTGTATAACATGAAGTTTGTTGAACCGAATGTTATATAGTTGGTAATTTTATAATATGAAGAAATTAAGAAAATGTATACATCCTCAGTATAATCTACTATGAACAAATCGTAAACAATTTTTAAATGTAATTAGATGACAATAGTTAACCATAAATAGGGATGAGATTAAATTCAAAACCTTCTGAGGTCAACACTATACCCTATCAATCGTATGATATACTTTTCTTAGTAAAAACCTACGGAATATACAGTATTTTGTACTCTTCATTACACTTAATTTTTTGGAAAATTATGTTTTGCTTAAAGTGACCTATTTGATATTTATTTTAATAAGTTGTGGAGATTCTACAAAATTAAAAAAATATATATGAAGTAGAATTTGTAAAGATGACTGTTAAATTTGAAGTGAATTTCCATCTTTCTTCTGAGAGTCAATAGTAGCTCAAATAGCTCAGTAGTAAGGCCTCAAACTGTGAAACTGGGTGAAGTGTATTAGAAACCCATGGGGAACATCAGTTCTCTTAGGATTACGTTTAAACTTTATTGATCAGTCTCAAATGACAGGAAACCTAGGCCCACGACTTATTAGTCAACTAACTACCTCCAATCAACATCTGGACATAGTGAATGTGACGTCGAGTCACTCAGACAAGTAGTCACATAGGAACTTAATTTATAGGACTTGATTAGTACTAGAAACTAGACAAATACAGTGTTGTGTCACTACTCAGTGATCAATCAATTGCAAACTAACACTAGCTATAAAACTACTAAAAAATTCTACGAACTTTTGGATAGACTTAAATAAGCAATAAAATGGCTATTCAATGCTGTTTATGTTTTCCCTGATCTTCAAATCGACATCAGTGAACAGTGAAAAACTAAACCTTATAATAATAGTCCTATACTTGATACTAATTAGGTTAGAGATAGAGAAACTCACCAATAAAAAGCCGGTTCAGTAGTCTAAAGGTTTAGCGCACGAGACCGAAGGCCCTGGGTTCGAATCCCGAGTGCGGAATCATATATGCGCACTTCTCTGGAGTCCTATACTAGGACGAGACGGCCATTCAGTGCTTCCAGGTTTTCAATGATGGTCTAACATTGATCCATTCATGATCTCAATCAATGAAAAAGCAGACAATTGATCATATAATAAACTCTGACTGAACGGAGTTAGCATTTACTTTTCTTTTTTAGTATAAGATGGTGAACTGAAGTTCTCTGAACAGAATCTCAGACAAGAACGCATCATGATGAATGATTATTCACTGATTCATAAAACTACTATCTGGATATTCAGTAGTTGATCTGTATATGTACACAAATATCAGTTTATGCCATAGCTGAACTCAAATGTATTTTATAAATTATTACTGAGGGTAGATTACAACACATTGATTGAATACCATAAACCCGACAACATAATTCATACTAGCTGACGTTTTGGGACTCTAACCTATCTAATACTATGTGTAATAAGAGAAGTAAAGACATAACTGATTGGAGTACGAATGACATATGGAATCGATTTTTTTTAAACAATTATCTGTAACATGTAATTACATACTGATAAGGAGTTTTAGTGATCCGGAGATCTGACTCGAGTTAGATTGTTTCTGATTGTTATCGAATGATTGCTGTCGAAATATACGTAAGTCAAATACTAGAATGAATTTTGAATAGATGTATTGCATAAGATTGTTGATCCAAGAAATGAAGCATGATGGCGCGCGGTGGAGGTGTGTTAGCCAACTCAATTTAACCAAACGTTAATCGATATTTACAGATAAGTTACAGACATGTGATGAGAAGATAAGAAATGCACACACATACGCTTACATAAAAACAATCAAGGTTGGTAAGCAAATAATTAACAAGGTCAAATGTGATTAAAGAAGAACGGATAGATTGGTCTATCCAGAAGCTAGAATAAGCTTTGTGGGCTTGACATAGCATCTGACACTACAGAGTAGTTGTATAGCTTGGTCAATTAGTAATATCCGTAATTTATAGATTCCTAACTGTATGACACGAAAAATGGGAAAACATTTATTGCACGGACATTTTTGTATTTTTTTTTTCGAGTGAAATTTTTTTCGTCCCTTTGGAAAAAATTTTCATCCCCATCTTCCAATAATTTTCATTCTGTTTCGTCCAATCAAATAACTAGTTTTGAGTTCGTTATAATTGGTCGTTTATTTCTTAAAATCGATATAAAATATGAGGATTTAATGGCAGAGCACATTTTCTTACAATTATGGACGGTAGTAACATGCGGGGCACGGGCTCCGTCGTTCCTCACGTTGTCACAGAAACCGATAACCTATTCTTGAGCACATTGTATCTCGTAGCGTTCCAATCTCTTGAAGCGTTGAAGAGCGCCATTAGAACGTATGAAAGAGCCACGTACTGCCATTATGTGGTGAGAGATTCTCATTTACATAGAGATCGGAAGTCCTATATTAAATTCGTATGTTGGAGAAATGGCCGTAGAACATCTAGCGGTTCCTCACAGCCGAGTAGACGAACGAGGTAATTTGATTTATGTTATTATAATTTTTCATTAAGGACTACTGTGAGCACTCAATGTCCTTCCTTCATCTTTTGTAAGTTCATTGAAGGTTACTGGACTGTTGTTCGTGGGAATGTGTATCACAATCACGAGTGCAATTCCCTAAGGTACCAAAGTAATTATTGGATGCGCAGGTTAACGGAGGTGGAATTCGAAACAGTGAGACCACTTTTGATATCTGGGACAGCGGCATTCAATATTATACACTTTGTTTACCAATCTTATAGAAAGTGTATAGATCCTCAAGATGTTTTTAATATGCGCCACAAAGTGTTCTCACAAGCCAACCTTCCTGGTAAGCAATGTGCCTGTTTAAATTGTCAACGTTAGGTGATTACTCCCAATTGAAAGATCACATCATGTCGCTTGGTGGCCTCTGTGAATACGACTTAGATGGAGATAACTGTCTGTTGTATTTCTTCTTCACAACAGCAGATCAAATGAGTTTATCAAGTCGATTTTTTGATGTTGTTGGTTTTGATGGGACCTACAAAACCAATAAGGGAAATTTATATTTGTATCAGGTTGTAGCACTTGATATGAATTTCATGGCAATACCTGTTTGTATTGCATTCATTAGTTCCGAAACATCTAATTTAATTGCTCATTTCCTGTCGTTCTTCCGCCGATCAACTAACAACCGAGAGGTGGTAGGCATTGTAACAGATGATTCACCTGCAATAGCTGCTGCCATTATGCAGGTGTATCCCAATTCCCACCACATTTTGTGTCGCGTACACATAATTCGTAATGTGTTAAGGAGGGTAAGTTTTTCGTTGCTTAACATTAAGCCATTAATCGTCATTGTAGAGGCTACGAGCGGAAACTGTACAACTTTTCTTCCGTCTGATGTTCACTAGAAATGTCGAAAGGTAAATTAAAATATGCATTACAGTCTTTTGTAGTTTCCATAGTTATCTTCCATTAATTGAAGCATCAGACGGAAATTTTTACCGATATGTGAGAGATCACTTGTTGCCTAAAAAGCACAAGTGGTCAAATGCTTTTCGACCCGCAGCGATGCTCTTGGGACAAAGTAATACGAATTTCGTTGAGATAACTCATCGGATTCTTAAGTTGCATAAGCTGAACAGAAGAATACCCGTGTTGAGATCAATATTCAATGTGCTTCTTGGAACTGGATATTGGATCGATGCGCGAATGAAGAAGTATTATTGTGATTGTCGTAATAAAACAATAATCGGTCGGGAGCCAGTAATATGTCGTCTTCGGGAAAGACTTACACCAGCTGCATGTCAATTACTGAAGCGGCATTTGCGCACTCCTATCAGTGAGGTTGTAATGTCCGTGGACTTGTCAACGGCTGTTGATGGTACAGGCACTTATACAGTTTGCAGTAATCCACTCAATTGTTCATGTGCTTTTTACATTGAAAACCGAATACCTTGTCGTCATATTTTAGCCTACTGCATACGCAGTAATAATGAAGTGAACACTCAGATAATTAGCGATAGATGGTTGTACTAGTAAACTGGTAGTACTACATTCGCCTATCCTAACTATATGACACAACATTGAAACATTCTGAATAAGTTTTGCATGTACTATTCTTAGACAGATGAGTGTTCATTAGATGACATTTCCTATAGGAAATCGTTTACTTAAACCCTATATTTGATAAAGCTTAAAAAACGTTTACGAATACGTGGACGATAATCACAATGACTATTAATCTAAAATGAATTTTGATAGCTTCATCAATTGGCCTTTGCCATGGAAATAAGAAATTGAAACAAAAGAATTTAAATCAGATTGTGGGTGGCCCTGAAAAGGGCCTTTACTCGTTCCCTTAACAGTTCCGAATTTCGTGAACCAAAGACTTGCTATGACTCCGTTATAGCGCCGCACATGGGACAGTGGATTCCATGGACGTGTGTTGATGGGTCGTAGGCACAAAACAAATGAAACATTGCATCACATCGACAAAAAACCCAGGTACTTCCATCAGCAGATTCATGTGGCGGTTGCGCAAGATTGCAAATATCACAAAGTCTGTTGTCATGCGCGTTTTCGTCATTGTCGTCGTCTAGTTCGGTGAACTCCTCTGAGTTCATCGAAACAATTTCTTACTCTTCATTGCTTAACGTTTCATCCATATCAACATTATGTTGATAGCTGGTAACTGCTCTCTGATGGATCAACGGCATTGTAATATTAGTGGACGTAGAGGTTTCGATCTGAAACTCTGTACCAGCAGGTAAGGTGGACGGGGCTGGAGGTATCCTACCGTAAACAACTTGACATGCATTATTATACACGATTGTACATTGCTCTTTGGACATACACCTAACTAAGGCATACAGCGATCTTCTTACACTTGCCTGTCTTATTTGAACAG